AATGATCAGGCCGATGTGTGGGCCAAGCATTCGGCTGCTAGAGTGCGTGTGCCCGTCGAGGCTAGGATGAGGCGGCTGAAGTCGCTTGCGCTTGTGGAGCGTGTCGCGCACTGGCTTGGCACCGTCGGGACTGCGACGAATAGTCGGGATTGCGTCGTCGATCGCCGTTCGGCTCGTCCGATTCGGCCCCGCGCGGCTGGCCTGATTCGGCCCGCGCGACCGATTCTCGAGCATGATTGGTATGGCCCCGACGGCAGCCGCTGGCGCCGCCGCTGCCGTGTTTCAGAGCCTGGGCAGGCCGAGTGCCCAGGGTCAATTGTTTTCAGAGCTGTTGAGGCCTCCAGGAAGCTAGAGGCAAGAGGAGAGAGGCCGCATAAGTTGGTTGCTCTCGACACGGAGCCCTCTCTTTGGGCTTAGAATTATCCGTCGATCGCGTGCTGAGCATGTGGTTCCTTTTCCGCCAGACAGTTGAAGAGTCTCCTTGCACCCTGTAAGGGGCCTGGGGCCCATGGGATTAAAGCCCTCAGGAGACTCGAAGCTGGCTTGCTCCCTGAGGGAGCGCGTGTGGCAGCCTTCCTTGCAGAGGTCTAGGCTGCCAGGTGGTTGTGAGGCGTTCGGATGCGCGCCTCGATGAGTCAGGAAGAAGAGGAGGAGGAGGAGGAGGCGGAGGAGGAGGAGGAGGCGGAGGCGGAGGCGGAGGCGGAGGCGGAGTGGGGGAGCCTTTTTAAGACCAGGACCAGGCGTTTTTTTTGTTCTTGAACACTCCTGTGGAGTTGGGTCCTCGTTCTGAATTTGCAGCGCCGCCTCCTCCTCCTCCTCCTCCTCCTCTTCCTCCTCCTCCTCCTTCTCTTTTTCCTCCCTCCTCCGCCTCCTCCTCCGACCAGAGCAAGTGTTTTTTGTTTGAAGCTCCCTGGGGCGCCGTCGTGAAGACGCCATGACTCCAGGCCTCCCAAATGGGCCTCGAGCGTATATGGGTTCAGAGGATCGCGCCGCATCGCCGATGCATCGGCGATGCGGCTCAATGTTCGAGTAGGGGATCGACTACAGAATTGGTTTACCTCAACCTTGATTTCCCCGCCGAATTTGCGAAACAATTTGTGTAATGTCCCGTCGATCTACGAGCATTCTACGCGTTTCTTGTACATATTCGGCGGGGAAACCACTCCTGAATTAGATTAATGTTGTAGCTGGTTCCCAATTCGAAATGCGGAGCCCGATTTTCACCACGCCGTTGTCGCCGAAGCATCGGCGATCTGGCGCGGCTCTCCGCCACAATCTGCACATATACCTTTGAGGAGGCCTCTGACGAGGCGGAGACGCCTGGGCCTTCCACCGGAAGGCATGTTGGGAACGGGTCCTGAGGGAGACGGGTCCTGGACCCTCCTTCTCCTCCCTCTGCCCCTCTTTATTCCTTCTCCTCCTTCGCCTCCTCCGACCCCTCCTTGTTCTCCTTCTCCTCCTCCTCGTCCTCCTTCTTCTCCTCCTCCGCCTTGTCTTTCTCCTCTTCGTCCTTCTCCTTCCCTTCCTCCTCCATCTGCTCTTCTCCTCTCTTTCCACCCCAGCACGGGTTCTGCATCCCGAGCCGTTTCCTGGCAGTCCCCAGGCCCGTCCGTTGGGGGGCCCGAGAGCGTTCGGACCAGAGGCGAATCCGGCGGTGGCGACGAGGGCCTCCCAGGAGGCCGGGACGGGGGAAACCGAAGGAAGGGTAGCGGCACAGTGGGGACGCCCATCAAAAGGAACCAGCTGTGTTTCGTCAGGGTGACCTGGGTTTCTTCGCTCCGCGCGCTGCGCAGTGACTTCCCGCGGCCGTTCAAGAATTTGGTGCGTTCAGGGATCTCTGGGTTCCATCCCGTGTGCATCTCGCGCCTGCGGGTTTCAGGGCTGGGTATCTTGCGAGGGTTTCTTGCGGCCGCGCCCGCACTGTATGTCACCACCTGCCAAACCACCCCAACCCAGCCCGATGGCCTCAATTTGCCTTCCATTTCCAGTGGGGGGGGTCGGGGACATTGAAAAAACACATGGAACCCGTACCCCCCCCCCCAACCCGAAATTCGGGTCAAGTGCGGGTCTTCGGGTTGGGCTGGGGCGGTCTGGAAGGTAGTCCAGCATGGGTACCCTTTGCAGCCCCCTGGCTCAGGCCCCTCCGCAGCCATTTTGTTGCACCCTGGCTCAGGCCGGCCAGCCGCCGCGACAGCGCCGCCAGGCGGCCCTCCGCACCTGCACCCCTGGCGCGGGCGGCGGCGCAGCCCTCCCTGGGCACCCGGCGTCTGCGCGGGCCGCCAGAATCTCTACAGTGCCGTTTTTAATACATGCTCCGCGTGCGGATCATGTATTAAACATGCAGGGATTTAGTCTTCAAAAGTATCCCAGTGCGACCCTACCTAGGAGTTGGAGCCCCTAGGAAAGCAGCATTAGTAGTAACGGTAAAGCTAAGCTAAAGCTAAGCTACAGCTAAGTTACAGCTAAGCTACAGCTAAGCTAAAGCTAAGCTAAAGCTAAGCTAAAGCTAAGCTAAAGCTAAGCTAAAGCTAAGCTAAAGCTAAGCTGAAGCTAAGCTAAAGCTAAGCTAAAGCTAAAGCGAATGCTAAAGCGAATGCTAATGCTAAAGCTAGGGGGCGCAACTGGGGGAACCGCGGGGCGGGGACCGGGGGAACCGCCCGGGGCGGGGAACCTTGCCCGGCCCCTTAAGCTAAGAGAGGAAGAACCCCTTCTAGGCAGAGCCTAGGTAGGGAACAACGATGAGTTCATGCATAAATGTATTCATAAATTAATCAGGTATTAAAAAAACGTATATGTTTAAAAATCCGATGTCTTAAAAATTGCCCTGTAGGCTTTCTAGATGGGGTCGGAGCAGATGGGGTCAGAGGATCGCGCCGCATCGCTGATGCATCGACGACGCGGCTCGATGCGGAGCCCGATGCTCTCCACGCCGGCGTCGCCGATGCATCGCCCACGTCGATGATGTATCGCCTGTGCATCGCCAACGCATCGCCGATACATCGCCGATGCATCGCCGATGTATCGGCGATGCGGCGCCATCCTCCGACCCCATCTACTCCGACCCCATCTAGGAGGCCTCTAGAATCGGAAGATGGGCGAGGGTTGGCAAATCCGTGGCTGCTAAAACTGTCTTCCTGGAGGAAGGGACCAACTCCCGGAAGAAGGCTCAGCGCACTAACTGGTGAACAGGCTGCGTCCCGGAGGAGAAAAAGCATGTCCCGGAGCCCCGTTTTAGCAGCCACGGGTTTGCCAGCCTTCGGCCGGTTTCTGACAGAAGTCCGACCCTTTTCGGGGGCAGGAGCATGACCATGATACACGTCGGCCGTTGAAAGTAGGTAGTCTCGGATTCCCAGATCGCAGTCTATTTCAAGCGCCTTCCTACCTCAAGGATCGATGTGCTCTTGCTGCTTGTTTTGGTTCTCTGAGAGGGCCTGAACCCAATCCACTTGATCCGCCTTCCTACTTCATGTTTTTACGGATTGCTTCCGACCGGCGTGTAACCATTGCAGCTTGGAGTTTCGATCTCCCGCTTTGGGTATGGCAAGAGAGCTGGCCCCTAGAGACTTGATGCTTATCCATATCCAGTGCGCCTCGGTCTTGTGGTGCCCCCTCCAAGAACTCCCAAGACGCCCTGTATATGGATATGGATCTCTCCTGCATGTTTCTGCGTCCGCCACCGCCACCGCGCACAGTTTGGTGGACATTGCCTCCGAAGTACGTCGGTTCGCGAGCGTGGGACGTTCCAGATCAGCTGCCCATTTTGTTTCGGACAATGGCCCAGGGGTGGACCTACACGGTGTTTTGGCGCTTTCGGGGGCCGTTTTCGTTTCGAATTCGTTTTGCGGTAGAGGCGGATCAAAGACAACACGAGGGGAAACGAAAACAACACGAAAACGAAAAACACCGTTCAGGTACAGTCGGGCCGGGGGGCGAAAGGGGGGATTGGGAAAGGGGGGGTTACGAAATTTGCTGCATGCAGCTGGTTTCGGGCCTCACCGAGGGGGCCATTCCTCGATACATGGGCGCCTCCGGCGCCGGGAGGCGCCGGGAAAATCAGCTAACGTGAGCTGATTCTCACCCCCCCCTTTGCTATCCCCCCCCCCTTTCCTATCCCGCCCGACCCGATACTACATGTACAAGATGGGTATACTATATGTTCGGGTCGGACGCGCGCCTCCAAGGAGGACATATAGTACTAGTATGTCTTCGTGCTTCCCAAGGTACAGCCCTGCAAAGGCCCGCACATCTCAGTGCATTGACGTGCGGCGCCCACCTTCCCCCCGGGTGCCGGGCGATTTTTTTCATCCCGGGTCGCTTCTGTTCACGGCCCCAGGGCCCGACGAGGGCCCCCCGCAGGCCGCAGACGGCCGAGAGTTTCCCTCCGTGATTTGAGGAGGAGGGGGGAGGAGGAGGAGAAGGAGGAGGAGGAGGAGGAGGAGGAGGAGGAGGAGAAGGAGGAAGAGGCGGAGGAGGAGGAGGAGGGGGGGGAGGAGGAGAAGGAGGAGGAGGGCGCTGAATTAAGGGCAGCCCTGGATTCGGGAGGCGTTCTGGTTTTCGAGCGGCTCTTGTCGGGGGGAGCGATAGGGGGGATAGGCATACGGGGGGATGCATCGACCCCCAGTCGCCCATTGACCGCCGACAGGTGCCCGACAGCGTCACCCATCCCAGGCAGGTGCGGATTCATTATCGGAGGCCTATCGCCGATCTACCAGCGATGTATCGCCGATTCTAGGTCGATGCGTCCCCCCCTATGCCCATTCCCCCCTACAGTCAACCCGCATAGTAAGGATGGGCAACCTTCCTCAGTGTACCCTTGCATCCTTGCCTCCTTGGTCCATCCTTCGCCGCTTTCGCTGGCCGCGCCCCGCTCGAGAAGCTTCGAAATGGGCGTCCAAGGCCCTGGAGGGGTCCGGGGACCGATTTTGAGCCGATTTTGCCTCAGCACCCCTCCTGACCGATTGCCTGGTGCCCCCACAAGTTCAGACCCCCCCGGCGGCCTCCAGACGGGCACAAAACGTCCAGGAGCCCCGGTCCGGGCCTCGATCGTGATCCCACGTGGGGTCCGCAGAGGGCGGCGGCAGCCCTCCCTCGGTCGCGCGCCCCGCCTCCCTGCGGCAGCGATGAGCGCGCGCGAGGCGCTGGACGGCAGCCAGGCGCTGACCGACAGCGCGTCGGCCCGGGCCGCCTCGGGGGGCAGGAGCACCTCGCCGTGCTCCGAGAGGAGCTCGCCACGAAGCAGGCGGCCAGGAGAGGGCGAGTGGAGGCAACGGTGCGTGTTTGGCGCCGCGGCTGGATGCAGCTCGGACAACCGGTGCGTTTGGACCCCAGGGGGGTTCCGGGGGCCGATGTTGAGCTGCGGCTGTCTCAACTCGCCGTCCGAGGCGGGTCCCCAGGGAGGCGGGTCCATACACCTACGCCGGCCCTGGGACCAGGACGGGCCTGGCCAGGATCGCTGTATGGGTATATAGTTGACGCCCTCCGGTCCTGAGTTTTTCCGGCCGTCGCTGGGCTGGCGGGGACCTCCATGGGCACGGGGACTGTCGGGAGCCGACTCGGGATGAGAGGGTTAGAGGGCTAGTCCATGGGGAAGGCCCCCAGGGCCCAGGACCCGTTTCCCTCAGGACCCGCTTCCTTCGGCATCCTTCGGCTGCGCGCGTGTGAGAGTGCCCCTGCGCCCGAGTGACCTTGTGGCGCGGGTCCACAGGGCCCCCCACCCCCAGCAGTTCGGTGGCGACCCTCGCCGGTCCACGACTGGCGCGCCTGGAGTTGGCCCCCTATTTCCGCGGCCCCCCCTCGTGAAGCCGCGTTCCAGAGGCCACTCCTGCCCGCAGGGCCACATTCTGCGTGGTCGCCGGCCTCCTCCGTGCCGAGGACCGGGGAAACGCAGAACTCGAGTACGCTGGAACTCGGAGTTGCCTGCGTTTTCGGGGGCCTCGAGACGGGGGTCAATGCAAACGGGGGTCAGCCAGGGCACCGGATCCTGCAGGATCCTGCGAAGAACCCCTCTGGCTGACCCAGGTTAGCGAGCCGCTCGTGGCCGCGAGGCGGCCGCGCATATTGGCTGACCCGGGTTTGCGAAGACCTGCGTCGCAGTGTTTTTTCCTGCATTGCAGTTTTTTCGTTTCCTGCTGACCTGGGTCTGGATTGACCCGGGTCAGGAGATCCCCGACGTTTTTTGACGAGCGCGTCCTGGATTTTGACGGTCCAGTTTCCGTGGGACGCTTGCAGCGGGAGCTCGCCTCAAATTTCAGACGGGGTCTCGTCCTTCCCTCGATGGCCTCGTCGGGCCACGCCGAGGCACCCCAAAAGCCCGAGTCCCGCGTCCTCCCGAGAGGAGCGGCGGCCGCGAGCGCCAGAGGCGGGGCACCGGCACCTCCAGCTGCAGGCTCGCGCGGGAGCTGGAGGGGCTCAGCCTCGCGGAGCTCCGGGCCAAGGCCGGCGGCGCGCCCAGGGGTGCGAACTTCGAGGTTCTCGGGCGCTCTCGTCAGTTCTCGGAGGTTCTCCAGCCTCGGGATGCCTGCCAGCAGCTGCGCCTCGCCGCGGGCGTGCCAGGGGTGCCCGGATCGTCCCGAACGGCCGCCGTGTACCCGAGTTAGGACCCAGAAACCACATTCGGCGGCGCGCCCTGGGGGGAAGCGAGGAGGGGCAGGCCTCCTCGGAAGGCGGCGGGGCTTCACTGAAGCCTCTTGGCCTTCTGAGAAGCCTGCTGCGCCTTCGGGGGATGCCCAGGAAACTTCTCAGAAGGCCCGGACGGCCTTCCGCGCCTTCCGAGAAGGCCCGCCCCTTCTCTCTTTTTTCCCTTGGGCTCGCCGCCGGCGAGGCGACGCAGTCGGACAAGGACATCAAGGACTTCCAGACCGCCCAAACGAGGCCCGAGCAGATTGGGTTGGAGGATCGCGCCGCATCGCCGATGCATCGGCGAGGTGGCTCGATCTGGATCCCGATGTTCCCCGTGCCGAGATCGCCGACGCATCGCCGATGCGGCTCGACCCTCTGACCCCATGTTTGATCGGACCCCGTGGGGCGGATTCTAGGACTACGCCAGGAGCCTGTGCAAAAAGAAGTGGACGGAGGAGGTGAAGAGGAAGCAGCGGATCGAGGAGGCAATCAGCGAGCTCGAGAGTGCCGGGCCGGATGGAGTTGGGCGTAGCGCTGAGGTTGGAAGACTCGATGGTACGGTGTGTTTGGGATGATGAGCGTACTGGCGGCGATGTGCTTGTCTCATGTGTTCTTTTTCGCCACCTTCGTCAAGCGAAGTGGGGCGACCTGCTTAGCATACACGTCGTCGTCTTTTCTTCGTCCCACTCCTTGCAGTCTCTAGCCCAGAGGCTCGCTCGTCGAATTTGCGGCCTGCCTCTTTCAGAGGCCTGGCTGTTCCGAATTTGCAACTATGCGCGATCAGCAGAGCGACCATCCCCACATGCCAGGCAGGCAGGTCGGCGTATCTGCCAGACCCGGCCAGCTTTCTTGGCCCAGGTACTTTCAGTTTTCAGCGGCAGCAGCGGCCTGCCAACCGTGTCAGGCAAGGCGCCGCTTTCAACTTGGATGCGGCGCCGGCCTGTTGGATCCAGGCTGCCGAACTTCGCAAAAACATGATGGACCCACGAACCCGGAAAGGGATAAAGACATGTGCAGCATGGTCACGTTTTCACGATACCCAACTGGGCGACATCTCACGAAACATCCCACGAGACACCCCGCGAAACATCCCACGAGACACCTCACGAAACATTCCACGAGACACCTCACGAAACATTCCACGAGACACCCCGTTAAACATTCCACGAGACACCCCACGAACAGGCAACCACTCAACCAGACACGCCACGAAACATTCCACGGGGGTGCGACTGGGGTGTGTCGTGCTGGGGTGTGGTCGTGCGGGGTGTGGTCGTGCTGGGGAGTGGTCGTGCTGGGGTGTGGTCGTGCTGGGGGGTGGTCGTGCTGGGTGTGTGGTCGTGCTGGGGGGTGGTCGTGCTGGGGCGTGGTCGTGCTGGGGCGTGGTCGTGCTGGGGCGTGGTCGTGCTGGGGCGTGGTCGTGCTGGGGCGGTGGTCGTGCTGTGGTAGGTCGTGCTGGGGTGTGGTCGTGCTGGGGTGTGGTCTTGCTGGGGTAGGGTCGTGCTGGGTCGGGTCGTGCTGGGGTGTGGTCGTGCTGGGGTATGGTCGTGCTGGGGTGGGGTCGTGCTGGGGTGGGGTCGTGCTGGGGTCTGGTCGTGCTGGGGTGTGGTCGTGCTGGGGTATGGTCGTGCTAGGGTGGGGTCGTGCATTTCGCTCGAGACATCCTGCCAAAATTCCAGGAAATCGTACAAAACAAAGGAATTAGTCGAGACATCATCGAAATTCCTTCGCGCGGGGCGCTTTTCCGCGTCGCGGTCGGCTCTGCAAAACAAGCGTTTCGCTCGAGACATCCTCGGCAAATTCTGAAAACAAGCGTTTCGCTCGAGACATCCTCAACTCTGCAAAACCAGCGTTTCGCTCGAGACATCCTCAAGAAATTCTGAAAAACAAGCGTTTCGCTCGAGACATCCTCAAATTTTAATTCGCCGGCCTCCTTCGACCTCGTTATTTATCAGGGAAAAAATTCGCCGGCCTCCTTCAAGTTGGCACCGGGGGACAGGTTTACCCACTAAAAGAGAACCCTGGGCCCATGCCCTTTCCGGGAAAAAGATCGCTTCAGTCGGGCCTGTCCTCCTACAGGAGGAATATAAAACATGATGGACCCACGAACCCGGAAAGGGATATAGACATGTGGAGCATGGACACGTTTTCATGATACCCAACTGGGCAACACCTCACGAAACATCCCACGAGACACCTCACTAAACAGCCCACGAGACACCTCACGAAACATTCCACGAGACACCTCACGAAACATTTCACGAGACACCCCGCGAAACATTCCACGAGACACCCCACGAAACAGTCCACGACGACAGGCAACCACTCAACCAAGGCGGTGTGGTCGTGCTGGGGAGTGGTCGTGCTGGGGTGTGGTCGTGCTTGGGGGTGGTCGTGCTGGGGGGTGGTCGTGCTGGGGGGGTGGTCGTGCTGGGGGGTGGTCGTGCTGGGGCGTGGTCGTGCTGGGGCGTGGTCGTGCTGGGGCGTGGTCGTGCTGGGGCGGGGTCGTGCTGGGGCGTGGTCGTGCTGGGGTGTGGTCGTGCTGTGGTAAGGTCGTGCTGGGGTGCGGTCGTGCTGGGGTGTGGTCTTGCTGGGGTGGGGTCGTGCTGGGGTGTGATCGTGCTGGGGTGGGGTCGTGCTGGGGTGTGGTCGTGCTGGGGCGTGGTCGTGCTGGGGCGTGGTCGTGCTGGGGCGTGGTCGTGCTGGGGCGTGGTCGTGCTGGGGTGTGGTCGTGCTGTGGTGAGGTCGTGCTGGGGTGTGGTCGTGCTGGGGTGGGGTCTTGCTGGTTGTGGTCGTGCTCGTGTGGGTTTCGTGCTGGGGTGCCCGCACTCCTGTGATTTTCGATCGGGTTCGTGCTGGTGTGTGGTCGTGCTGGGGTGTTGTCGTGCTGGGGTGTGGTCGTGCTGGGGTGTGTCGTGCTGGGGTGGGGTCGTGCTGGGGTGTGGTCGTGCTTGGGTGTGGTCGTGCGGGGGTGTGGTCGTGCTGGGGTGTGGTCGTGCTGGGGTGTGGTCGTGCTGGGGGGTGGTCGTGCTGGGGCGTGGTCGTGCTGGGGCGTGGTCGTGCTGGGGCGTGGTCGTGCTGGGGTGGGGTCGTGCTGGGGTGGGGTCGTGCTGGGGTGGGTTCGTGCTGGGGTGCTCCGCACCCTGTGATTTATCGATCGGGTCGTGCTGGGGTGTGGTCTTGCTGGGGTGTGGTCGTGCTGGGGTGTGGTCGTGCTGGGGTGTGGTCGTGCTGGGGTGTGGTCGTGCTGGGTTGTGGTCGTGCTGGGGTGTGGTCGTGCTGGGGTGTGGTCGTGCTGGGGGGTGGTCGTGCTGGGGGGGTGGTCGTGCTGGGGGGTGGTCGTGCTGGGTTGTGGTCGTGCTGGGGGGTGGTCGTGCTGGGGTGGTCGTGCTGGGGGGTGGTCGGGCTGGGGGGTTGGATCCGTAGCTGGGGGCGTGGTCTTGCTTGGGGCGGTGTCGTGCTCGCCCGTGTTCGTGCTGGTGCGTGTCGTGCTGGGGTGTGGTCGTGCTGTGGTGAGGGTCGTGCTGGGGTGTGGTCGTGCTGGGGTGTGGTCGTGCTGGGTAGGGTCGTGCTGGGGTCGGGTCGTGCTGGGGTGTGTCCGTGCTGCGGTATGGTCCGTGCTGGGGGTGGGTCGTGCTGGGGTGGGGTCGTGCTGGGGGTCCTGGTCGTGCTGGGGTGTGGTTCGTGCTGGGGTAATGGTCGTGCTAAGGGTGGGGTCGTTGCATTTCGCTCGAACAATCCTGCCTGCCAAAATTCCAGGAAATCGTACAACCACAAACGAATTTAGTCGAGACATCATCGAAATTCCTTCGCGCGGGGGCCGCTTTTTCCGCGTCGCGGTTCTGCTCTGGCAAAACAAGCGTTTCGCTCGAGACATCCTCGGCAAACTCTGCGGAGCAAGTTTTCGCTCGAGACATCCTCAACACACGAAAAAGTGGCCCGCACCCTGTGATTTATCGATCGGGATTTCAAAAACAAGCGTTTCGCTCGAGACATCCTCAGATTTTAATTCGCCGGCCTCCTTCGACCTCGTTATTTATCAGGGAAAAAATTCGCCGGCCTCCCTCAAGTTGGCACCGGGGGACAGGTTTACCTACTAAAAGAGAACCCTGGGCCGATGCCCTTTCCGGGGAAAATGGTCATGATATGAGGCACGCTCTACGGGGGGGACCCGTGGGGCGGGCCCGTCAGAGCGGACCGAGGGTAGTGCAGGCCAGCGTGAGCGGGAGCCTCAGTAGGCGTCTTGGCCCAAGCACCGAGTTGAGCTTTAAGCAAGGTGCCAGCTTTGCGCCCGCGTCGCCCGCCATGCCAGGGTCATGGATCTCGGCGTCGTCGGACCCGGAGTACGCCACGGCGATGCGCCTGAAGGCGGGCAGCATCGTAGAGGTCCGGTGCTACGACGACGACGGAGGCGACCAGGGCACGGTCATGCTGCGCCTGGAGGGCGATGAGAAGGTCGGCGACACGATACAGGCGCGGCACATGGCCGCGAGCGACGACTATTACGCCCATTGGGCGGCTGGGCAGGAGACGGTGGGCCAGTACCACTTCTGCTGCGGTCGCCAGGCGCGACGCCGGGTGACCGACGTCACCGCCCACATCGAGACGTTCAGGGAGCCCTCGAGCGCGGACTTGGGGAAATGCGGCCTCAAGTGGATCAAGGGGCCCGCCGCGAAGGCCGTCGAGAAGATCCTCAAGGCTGATGCGCGTGGCGGAGGGGCTCCGCCACCGCGCTCACCTTCGCCAGCGGGCTTTCCGCCGCCAGCGGAAAGCGGAAAGCCAGCCCGAGCTCGGCGGGGGGAGGAGTTGTTCGAGCCGGGCGAGGGACAGGCAGGTGACCTCGCGGCGGATTTGCGGGAGCCGAAGGGCAGGGTGGCTGACAGGGAGTCCAGGCAGGGTCGCGGGTGGCGCGAACGCTCCCGCTCCCCGATTCCCCGGGGTCGCCAGGCAGAGGAGGAGCGAGGCAGCAGGGGCGACAGGCAGTCGCAACGAGGACGCCAGGACCCGTTTGGGCCTGCTGTGAGCGGAGACCGTCGGGGAGCAGCGCGGGCACGTTCCCCACACGAGGAGAGAGGGACAGCTAGCCGCGGTACAGATGGCGGAGAGGAGGCGCAGGAAGAGGAGGTCCAGACCGAGGTCGTGCAGGAGCTCATGCGTTGGGTCAGCGGCATGCTTCCCGGGCGCGAAGCGGAGCACTTGCGCAATTTCATACGGTACGTCGATCACCGGGGCTCCGACGTGCAGCTTTGGGCCGGCGAGTTTTCACGGCAGTCGCGGCAAGCAGCCCCATTCCCTGCTTTCAAATGGGTTTGGAGCGTCATTTTTGTCCGGCAATCGTCTGGGAGCGGTGCGCTTCAGTCGACCCGGTTTGTGCATGTAGTGGACAGCGTGGTAGCGTCAGCAGTCATCGCCAAAGGGCGGTCCTCTTCTAAACTTCTCAATTTTCGGCTTCGTCAGTTGGCAGGAATGCTGCTTGCCGCGGATGCCTACCCCTACGTCGCGTGGACGATATCATCGTGGAGTTTCGCCGAACGCGCGAGCCGCTGGTGGCCGGCGCGGACCCCTCAAGAGCAACAGTAGTAAGTTCTTCATGCGGCACCGTGCCGTGCGACGGAGGGGGACGCTCAGGGAAGCTGGGGTCAAAGAGAGAAAACTTCGACGCTATCGAATTCGCATTCGTTTCTTTCTGAATAGTTGGAGCTGCGAGGGCACGCGGTTCCGCGCAACCTCGAGGAGCTGGACATAAGGGCCAGCGAGTTCATCGACCGCCTGTGGGCCGAAGGGGAGCCAGAGGGCTGGGCCATTGATTTCGCCTCGGGCTTGAAACGCTTGGTCCCCAGAGCCCGGAAAGCGCTCGTCGTGACAGGCTTCTTCCTCAACAGCTGGCGCTGGACAGTCAGCCGGAGCAGAGCTTCACCATTCACGCCGCTCATCGTCAAGGGCCTCGCGGGGATGATCCCGGGATGGCGTTCGCGGAGGGCGCGTGGAATTTCGGCGCAGCTCTCCTAGTG